TTTTATGGCGCCCGCGAGTGATATGTTCCGTGGGCACCACCACACAGCCGTCTATTCGTACCACGGCAGAAAAAAATACTTCTAGACTGACATATTCAACTGCTGCATTCTGTCTCATTCCAAGACCGCAACTAACTGCAGCTTCTACTTTCCGAAGAAGGCTCGAAGCGCCAAGTAGTACTATAAAAAAAACAGTCCCATGGCCCCTTCGGAAGTCACCACAGTTTCAAACTCATGTCAATGCTCTCCTACTTTATATATAAGCTACGTAAGTCAGCAAAGGTTCACCAGGAACAAAGCGCGTGACGCTTTACGTGTTGACTTTTAGTCGACTTGTGGCTGATGGCATTCTAGCCAAGCCATTTCAAGATAAGATAACGTATCGTCTCAAAATGAAGGACAGGTCATCACATCAAGATCCAGCACGAGACAGTATTTTACAGTGTCAAAGCTCTTAAACTTTACTTAACACTAAGATTATCGACGCTCATGTCAGTTTCCCGTCGCATGACGTACGAATAGTGCATATCCATAGCCGATTCCGGCATCTTGAGTACTTCTCCGTCATATCAACACTTTCAATCGTCGCAATATCATACAATATTGCACGACGCTTCTTAAGCTCTCGAAACATTTCATCGAGTCAAATTGCTTGTAACTTGGATGTACCAACTCACAATCTTACGATGACCCCTACATATCTGATCTGTGCAACCTCACTTATCTGCAGTAGAAGGGCAGAGATCATCTACCTATAATCTTCCTATTAGCCCGAGTCCCAATGACTACATCTTCCATAAAGTACAATTCCACCCAAGTAATCGCCCGGATTCCATTTTTGCACCTACAGGTAATCGATGGTTGTACCAAAGTAATAACTGATCGACTATGTGTCATTTCGCACCTTCCATATCGTAAAAAGCAGGTTGCAAAGGATTCTTATGTTTGAAATTACATCAGATGTTGAGTTTGCATAACTTGGAAATAGTTCATTTCCCCTACAGCCTTGATATAATCTATTGCTTTCAACGATCTCGAAGAGCCACCTCACCCCACACTCCAATCGGCATTCGCTGCATGAATGTTGTGCTTGGATTCAATACAACAACTACTGTCCATTTAAAGAGGTTGGGTGGACGCGGAAGATCTCGAAGTAGCGACGCATCGTGCATAGACTGCATTTGAAGATAGTAGCTGTTTCCGTTTAACTGTCAACTAATTTTTGGGAATCATGGAATGGACATATATGTAGTACCTACCATGAGTACGCGGTAGTACTACAAAATGGCCATTCAATTAAATTGTGATCAAAAATGTATATAATAGGCTTCACTTTTAATATATATTGCCCAATTTAATATTGTCTAATGAATAGAGCGATTGGTCTTCAATTGTGCGTGGGTCACGCTATCTCTTCTTCCAGGTGCGTCATACAAACATGGTGTATATACTTGCAGCAGTGATCTAACAGACATAAGGTACGACTACGGTACAATTGCGCCAAGAAAGTGGTAGCAGATCGTCTACTTGTACGCAATCAATTGTTCTGGTTGTTACGTGCGTACAAAAAACGAAGGCTTGATGTTTGAGGAGACAAATATACAATTATCTTTCAATCAGGTTATCTAAGTAAAATTTAGCATTTCCACTCTCTTGTATAAGCAAACTTAGCCCCAAAGATCGTCCAGCAAGAAGAAGAAAACGAGTGTACCTAAATCTGATCCTTTCCAAGTCTT